GTATAAAAATGTACAAATATCTAGTTCGCTGAAAATTAATCTATTAATAATGTTATCTAATTACTTATTGCTAGTTAATATTGAAATATGTACCAACAAAAAAGTAAATGTATCTCAAAAATCTTATTTCTAACTAATTAGTAATTTTTTATTTAGTTCAATATTTGATAAACTCTATTTATTTTGTTTGAGTTAAAAATCATTACTGACTTTCAATTATTATTTTTATGTTGATGATTTTTGATTAATTAATTATATAACCGAAATCAAATTGTTTATCAATATTTATTGAAACTATGATCCCAAATATATACTTAATTAAAAAATTAATTTTATATATATCTTACTTTTACTTTTCTTAACAGAACTTTGCCATATTTGTACATCTGTTTTTTACAAACAAAAAATTCTGTTTCGCGGCTGCAAAAATATATCCGCATCAAAACTATTAATATTTGTATGCTAACAGGTTTAAAAATTTTCTAAATATTTTTTTTTTGTTCGATTTTATCTTATTTAATTTATTTAATATATTTTCTATTGTTTTTGCCGATTTTTGTATAAGTTTCCAATCCATATGAAGCAATTCTATTCTTGTTTTCGATTATGCTGAGCACTCAAAATATTCTTCATTAATTATAAAATTAGAAGTATATGTGTCGTTCTGCGCTAAATTGTTTATAAATTACAAATAATTATTTTTAAAATTTAATATTAAATATTTGCTAATAATTTAAATGTTACGCTGAAAGAATTTTTGGGGTTAAGTGTTTATGGCGCTAAAAATGTTACAAAGACAAACGTAAAAATAATTGCCTTTGATGGCTCACGTCTTAATTGATTAAGAAATTCTTTACGGTTATGTAGTCAAATTAAATATTATCTCACTTTGAATTGATATAATAAAATATAATTATTATTATTTTTTAGACATATTGCTTTGATTTTTTTAATCTTCAATTCTGGCCCTTTCATTTTCTTTAATGAATGTAGCAGCCTTTAGGTTACTTCAGTTTTCTTAAAGTATCTTAGGCTATTAATATGAGAAATATTCAAATACTTTTTATATTTGAGTTTATTCATTTAATTTTAATTACTATAATTAGATTTAATTTAAATTTACTTTAATTTTTTATTAATTATATAATTTAATAATTCAATTTGCACCATAAACCTCAAATCTTATATAAAATGTTGGCTTCTGGTGTTACTCGTATTATTTTAAATTTAGATTAGTATTCGTTGGCTTCTCAAAATTGTATCAAGAAAGAAGTACACTTTTTCTCGAAGTCTTTTTAAAGTTCGTTAAATTAATTAAAGTAGCAATAAGAGGATTGTTCCAAAAAGAAGAAAGGTACATGGTAAAGAATATTTTTTGTCTAAACTTTTTTTTATATTCACTAAATTAATTATAATAAAAGTTAGTAACAGTTTTATATATGTATATATGTTTATGTATACTTATGTAAACTATAATTTCATTAGTAGTATTAAACTGAAATACTTTCTTTTAATATTTCTTTGTTCCGGAGAAAATCACAAGAGCATGGTTTGAAACATAACAGAGAGCCTCATCGATGTAATGCGAAAACGATTCCGTGAAGGAATAAGTCTCACCGAAGAGGGGGTGTTTTAATCCGTTTACTACATATTAATGTTTATAAGTCAGGCACACCATTCCGATGCTGGTCGGTCTGACTTGCATAAAGCATTCCACCTTCTCAGCACAAAAAAAAAATACTTTGTTGAAAAAAAACCTAAATCTATGAAATTTTTCCATAGTTATTTTAAAATGCTCAGAATTTTTTTAATGTTACTAAAATTTAACTATAAAAATTTCTAGTTAACATTAATACTAAAATATATAAACAAAAATTTATTAGAATTGTGTAGTTTTTATTATTATATTCTATTTTGTCATGAAGATTATGAATCCTTAATCTTCATCAACATTGCGGCCCTATGCCCCTTTAAGGGAAGCGGACACTAAGAAAGAAGAATCTTTATCCCGGCTGGAATACGCTACCGATGGCATCCAATATCAAACAAATAGGAAGTCAATCAAAACTATTTTTCCATTGTTAAACTATTAATATTTCTTACAATTTACCTAAGATGCTTTTAGGTTTTTTTCTTTCTTAGGCTAAATTCTTTTTTAATTATGCCTCCAATATTTTAAGAGATTTCGAAGACCTCTCACAGAGTTCTTAATATATATTAATATTCAGTCAACAGATAACCGTTGAAGGAATATTCGTCATCATATTTCTTAAACGCATAAATGTATTTTCAATTTATCATAATTTTCCTTTAACACAGCAACTTCATTTTATATTCTCGGAAACACCATTTCATTCTTTTATCATTTCTTTTCTTTTAAGCCCAATAAATAGATTCTTCCAATGCTACATTTGCTCTGAAGAGACAAAAAAACTTTAACTTTAGGGCATAGTGGCATCAATTATTATGCATGTACTTGTTATTTTGCGGTTCAGTTGCAGGACCACTATATATTGTATTATCAGGATATGTAATAGTATTTTGATTTTTTGGTGTTTAAACCAAGTGAATTCTATCCTATCTGAATCGTGATCTTTTTATATATGTATTCTCTAATCAAAAGTAAACTTTTTCACAGTATATCATTATTATTTGTAATTAAACGTCAGTTATGACGGAAGTAACTATTTTACTTAATAGTAATATTGTATTTAGTAGAAAGGTTTCGAGATTGGCTAGTAACCATTTTCATGGCTACACAGTATTCGAAAATGGATTAAAATACAAAGTGTTAGCAAATTTATAGATATGACTGGAAGGGGAAGAGAGAGAGAGAGAGAGAAATGCGTGAAAATATATATAAAAAATAAATATTATTTGTTATTTGTCGAGTTGGCAAATGAAGATGAAGATTTAAGTCTTCACAAATGCGTTCCAAAGTTAATAGTAATCCGAATGTCAATAAAAGTAATATTGGCGAAATATAATCCTAAATACAACTAGTATCTTAAATTACTAATACACTCAGAAATATATACTCTAACCATATACTAGTCAAATTATTTCAAATAATTATTTATTTCAAATTTTGTTATAGAAATTTTAGCTCATGTGGTAAAGAAGATATAAAAGCCCTCATATATGATATAGTTGAACCAATATGATGTGTCGAGTAAAAATTTTTTGACCTGAAATTTAATTAAAATCTAGTTAAATCAACCAAATTATTTTTCTGAGTGTAGTTTTATTTAAAAAATATTAAAGTAAAAATACGTATAACCATATCTGAATAATTAGTTTTTATTGTTTTAAAAGAAGCTATATTGTTATTTCAATTATTATATATGGTGGTCAAAAAATAAAACAAATATTTTTGTTCAATATTTAGTAACTCAGTTAAGATTATTTTTTTTCAGTTTCATGGTTTATTACGTCTATTAATAATAATTCTAATTTAATCATATGTCGGTTTAACTACTACTATCTTTTTTTTTATATTATGTGGTTTTGTGATGTTCCAAAAATTTTAGTATCTCTAAATAATCGAACTGTCGGATTAATACATTATTGTAGCTACTTCCTAACACTTTTTAATGCAACTATAAATTTTTATGAGAGTAATCCATTAAAACAATCTAATCAATGTATTGTATCAAAAGAATACAAGATGCTTAGTATTTCAGCATCGAGCGTGAATTAGATCATCTTCACTTTTATTTTTGAATAAAAGTTATAGATCAATATCTTATTGCCGATAGTAACATAATTACTTACATATATCTTAATTATTATCAATTTTCTATTATGCTTTCAAATTCTAAACAAAATTGGATGAATTTCGAAAAGAGTTCAGTAGTTAATTTTATTTTTTTCATAATTGTTCAATCTTTTGTTTGCAAACAAACTATTTTTGTTTTGTTTATATACAAACTACTTTTTTATCAAAAAGTCTATTTTTATTCTTTTGTATTATATTTTTTGTGATGTAACAATTTCAAAAATTTATAAAAATATACTTCAACTATTGTTCAAAAAAAAAAAGTTCTAAGCAGAAGAGCAGATATTTTAATTTTTTTGTTTTTATGTATTGTCGATTTTTTTTTGGTTTATGATTTTGATATACTTAAGTGTTAATGCTTGAAAGTCATTAAGTTTTTGGATTTTCCATAAATAAAAATTATATTAAAATATTACATCAGTATCTGGAGTTCCGATGGAGAATGAAATTTGGTGTTACATTAACGTTTGCAGATTATTGGTTTAATAAAGTTTAATTCACAATATAAAAATCGATAGCAAAATGATTATAACAAGTTATATTGAGTATTATTATTGAATATTAATTATTATGATTATTAAAATTATCTTAGAAATGTATATTTAATTTCAAAAATAGTTTTATGACATCAACTTTTAATTGCTGCGGCGATGCACTTCTCTGTTGAGTTCCAAATAATTAATTTTCCAATTATGCTTAACATGTTGGCCATAACGACCTTTTCCCGCTCTGCGAAGTACAATGAACGCACAAAGGTAGTAGAAAAGTTAAGGTAACGATACAAAAGACGGCAGTAACACCAACCAAAAAAAAAAAAAAGATAGTGAAAATCGAAAACAATTAAATCGAAACTTGCTTATTTTCAAAACAGCAGAAGCTGTAGTAAAAGATGAACGTGCTTTTTGTTGTTGTGGCATTAGAAGAACTTTAAGATTTTTGGTTAAAATTTGAGATTTGAATTGTGGCTATAAAATCAGCCAGCAGCAATAGAATCGACATCAGTTCAGCTTAACGAGCTCAGCTTGGCAAAGCAACTAAGTAGTAAACATAAACATCGTGAAGCGCCAAAATTTAATATTGAAAATTAATTAAATTTAAAATAGAAAATGAAAATGGTGTGTTGAACTTTTGAACTTAGTGTAGTGTTAATTATTGAACATAAATATAATTAAACGATTTGTGTTTTTTTGTTTTTATAGCAAAGTGTAATTGTGCTTACCACTCTATTGGTCGGTATGACCGCTGCCAGTTCATTGGCTACTAAATACTTGCCACCGAACTATGCAGGATCACATAGTCATGGTGGCGCAAGACAAGGTGGAGGAGTACCAAGACCATCAAATCAATATTTGGCACCAAATAATAATCTGCACTACAGTGGAGTAAATGGTGGGGGACACGCTTTACACAGCGCCGCTTCAGCACCTGTAGGCGCACGGTATGGTGGACATAATGCAGCAGCCGCACGTATACCAACACTCAGAAATAACTATGTTAACGATGGCAATGGCAACTACAACTTTGGGTAAGGCAAACAAAATTAAACTAAACTCACAATTAACAAAATTATGCAAATAATTTTAAAAATGCCAAATATTTGCACAGCTTCGAAACTGGTAATGGCATACGTCGTGATGAAACAGGTGACTTCAGTGGTGGCTGGCCACATGGTTCACTAGACGTTAAAGGCTCTTATTCTTATACTGGAGATGATGGTCAACAATACACTGTTAACTACACAGCTGATAAGAATGGTTTCCATCCAGAAGGTGATCACTTGCCACAAGCCACTGATGGCGGATACGGTCAAGCAGCACAAGGACCACATGGTGGTCATGGCGGTCGTGGTGGTCATGGTGGACATGGTGGTCATGGCGGACATGGTGGACATGCTGCAGCTGCTAGTGTACGTGCACCATCTTCTAATTACTTACCTCCAAATCAACAACAAGGCTACAATTATGGCGGCAAAAGACACTATTGAATTTTCTGCTGCTCGACTCAACTCGATATAATGTGATGACTACGTAGTATAAGTAATGATGTGTAAAAAATATTTTATAACGAGACAAATAAAAAATATATGTATTTAACAAACAAAAACAAAAAATGGAAGGATTTAATATGCAAATTTTATTTAACTTTGTATATTGCAGCGGGACTTTCTGTTTGATATGTTCCACGCCTGCTTTGGTATTATTTAAAAAGTTTTTGGCCAAAAATGCTCATTAAAATTCACTTTCGTTTTTAAGCAACTTAACGCAAATGTACACAATGCAGTGGCAAACAAACACACATTGACTCTATAATGAAAAAGTTTCCACAACGACTTCATCAACACGTTCGGATTCATCATCAGGAGATGCTGCAAGGAGCAGCGTACACTGTGAAGTGAACAGTGAACTTTTGTTTGACAACAAACTTTTCTGACAGCCGCAATATTTGTTTGGTACAGAAAAGGGTTTTTGAACTCAATAAAGGTGGCTTTGTGTCTTGAATAGTACAAGAAAGAGGCTGAAATTGACTTTCAAACACGTTTTGTATTAGCAATTATCTATTTTTACTTCCCTTATTAACATGAACTCAAATTGATGACTAATTAGGAAAATATCTCAGTTGGTGTATGATAGCTTTATACTTAACAAAAATTATTCCTACTAAAGGTGAATAATAAGGAGAATATATTAAAAATATTACTAAATTGCATTTTAACGTCAGGTATTACGGCAGTGACTATTTTACTTAATAGAAACTATTGTATTGAATAAAGGGTTTTTAAACAGTAGTGAACTACAACAACAAACATTTTTTTTTATTTTTATTGATTGAATTTTTGGCTGACTATACAGCTATTTTGAGTATTGCCAAATCCCCACCATCTTGGCTGTGTGATCAGCGAAAAACTCAACCAAAGTAAAATAATAAAAAAATTTCTGTTGTTGTGTTTCACTACAGTTCGAAATCGCTATAAAAAATATTATTTAAAAATTGTTATAAAATAATTACAAGATATATATAATATTTATTTTATATATTCATACAAAAATTTCAATAAAAGTTTATATAGTTCTACAAGTTAATATATTAATAGGAAAATCTTTTTAAGCTACAATTATAAAATAGCAAATTTATATTTAAACTTTTTTCAAAAGAATATTTTCTGCTAAAAACTTTAAAATTACCGACTAATTGTAACTATTAAAAGAATTTTAATGGTCCTTACCCAAACTATTCCAATTTTGGTGCCATTTAATAAAGAAATTTCTTTCTTCCTCTTCTTCACATCTTGAATCCTAGTCTCCTTTTGAATGCTTAATAATACGTATAGCTTCAAAAATTTTCATAAAATTAAATGTAACCGGAAATCCCTTTAAAATTTATGACTTTCTTGGCTCGCAACTTGGATACCAAAGGACTTAAGGATGTTTTCATTTTAATAATAATGACACCTTTCAAGTCATAGAACAATTCATTAAACTATGTTAAAATTATTTTTTATTTTTTTTTTTGGTTTAACTTGTAAGACTAAAGTGAAAGTATATTTAAATAAGAAAGTCATTAAGTTTTGAAATTGTGGTTGCCTTTCTATCTTTAAAAACAATTTTCCTTAAGCTTTTTATTTCTCAATGAAATTACTCCTTTTAAAGAGGTAGTTATGATGTGATTTTCAACGTTTTAAATATCTATAAGTTTAATACAAATACTATAATACAAATAAGTTTTCAAATATCTTTTTCTAGTCTTTAATGACATAATGTCCTTGTACATACAAGCATGTTCAATATTCATATTATTAACTACTTCTGAGATAAGAATTTTAAAATAATTTTCTACTACCGATAATATTAGATAGCTTTCAAATAAATAGACAAATAATAAATTGATTGAGTTATTTTGAAATATGCTAAAAAATTCAATCAAAAATGCTATCAAGGATAAAAGAAGGGAATTATTATTGTTTGGGGATGTGAGTCTATTGCTCTCTTTTCTGGATTTAGAGTAGGTCTCTAAGCCCTGTTGCGTGAATAAAAAGTAGAATAGAACCTACTTTACAGAGTCTTATAACAGTTAATAAAGAGCTCCTTAAGGAGTATTCTAGGAACTTAAAGTTTCACTGCTTACATCTAATTGTCCATACGTATAAAACACGGATCGTGGTTTAGCTAAAAGTGGGGTGTAAGTTGGAATTAACTTCAGTAAATGTAGAGATAAAATGGGAAGATAATATAAAATATTTAGGTCTAACTTTTGTTGAAAGATATATTTAACTAGAGAATATAAGTACGAAAAAACGTGCTTCTAATACGACTGTTACTCTAAATGTTCTGAAACTATTAATATAAGTTGACAGTGAAAAATAAAATGTTGGTTAGTAAAGTAATTTATGGCTATAAAACTGCAAATATCAAAATATTGTATGGAAACCTTTGCTGAAAGCTCCATGGTATATCAAAAATAAATTTCTACACAAAGTTTTTAAAGTTTAAAGTATGCAAAAATATATCAAAGACAAAACGCTGCGATTGGATGGATGCTTTCACAAATTCAGATACACATTTTTTGAATCTAAATTCACTATATATTTTCCATCAGAAAGATATGTTGGGATTCAAACTAGACTTTTGTAAATACATCTGAATAAATTATTACCATATTTCAAAGAAGCTCATATTAGAGTGGACCATCGAAGTGGTCATAGATACTTTTAAGTTAAATTACTTTACACACTAATAGTATGTTTCCACTGGCTTCGCTCGACCTGTTAACTTACTTAAAATTTGTTAAATTACTTAAATCTCAAGTAAGTTAACTGGTCTAAAGAAGTAAGTGGAAACTTACTATAACACCCGTTTCATCAAGCAAAATGACAATTGAAAAATGTTGAAATATAATTAAAATGCAACTATTTCTTATAAACTAGCAAGTTTTTAAAAGGATTTAATAAAACATATTCTAACATATATTCAAAGTAGTTTTGTTTTAAACTTCTAACACTTAAAACACTTATTAAATTAATATTCAGCAAACCTTGAAAATACCTTAAGTCCATCTGTGAGGGTGCATTTTAAAAACACTCCTAACTGCAAGTCCATTTCCTGGGCTATAACTACATGCTCATTTATTGAAATTATAAAATCCTTAAGAAGGCTCCAAAAGAGCTTTTTGCTCCTAAATAGTTGTGACTTACTTCCTCAAAAGACCTTTTTAGGACGTTTTTGGTTAGTTAACATATATCTTTCTTGGCATGCGTGTTCTGAACACATCAAGTATTCAAGTACATTTATATAAAGTGAATTACTTAGTTCTTATCTTTCTTATCTATGAACTTTAGAAAATAATATTCTTGCTTAGATATAACATAGCTGTGATATTAGTTACCTTTAAGTTGACTATTCCATGTTCGAAGCAGCACTTTATACACTTAACATCCGTTTTGCTTTTAAACAATAAGTTAGTACAAATTAGCACAATATGGTAAAATAAAACGAATAAATATTTTATTAAATAAGTTGGTGTCTTTAACTTAGTTACCTTATTATTTTTCGATTTTGTCATTTGCATGTGTGGTAACACGCAAAGTAACAAGCGACGTACATAGGAATAAAAACTTTTTAGAGCATAAAAAGGTACACAAAATCGCACAAATAACAAATTCTAATAAAGTAATTTGCACACGAATGCGAAACTTTTCACAGGATCAGATGCGAATCCGAGAGTATAAAATTAAAATCCATTTCGCACGCATATTCCCCAAGTGTACAGCAATAATTGGCTCCTCCTGGGGATTTCCAGTTGCTTATGAGCAAGTGAAAATTATTGGTAACGGCACACGCAACCTTAAGAAACTCATGATTTTATAATATCTGCAGCGCAGTCGAAAAGTACAATTTTTTAAATATTCCTTATGTATGCGTTTCTATATAAAACTTACATTAAATAAATCAAAATGATATATGCGAGAATTCAAATTTATAACTAGGGGAATGTGATATCGAGTGTCGGATTAAGTAGGATTCTTTGATTAATTTGAATTATTTTGAGAAAAATGAATTTTTTAAATTTATCGATAGTACATATATTTATGTGTTTATATTTTTTTTTAGCTTGATTTTAATAAATTCCTTTTTTCAATTAGTTAGGGTCTTTAATTACCATTTGTGGTATACGGGTGGTTCCAAAATGAAGGAAAAAGTAGGAGCAGATGTCTATGGGTTTAAACCAAAAAAGGAAATATTTGCAAATATGTGTCAAGAAAAGTCAGTTTTCCAGACCAAAGTACATGTAATTGAACTATGTCTAAAGAAATATAAGGAAAACTCACCATGGGTGAAAACATGGTACTACGCTGACCTCGAGTAACTTCAAAATTAGTGTAGAAATGCCATTCAATTTCTTAAAGGTCTTGCTAGAAAGAACAGAATTCACTTAATATGGTTCCCAGGATACAGCGGATTTGAAGGAAACAAGAAAGCCGATTAACTAGCCAGGAAAGAGCTTGACTCATTTTATATTGGGCCAAAATCATTTTGCGGTCCTTCATAGAGCTTCTTTACACTTATTATTAATGAATAGCTGGAAAAAGCTGTACAGACTGATTGGGATAATGTAATTGTCTGCACACAAGCTAAAGAATTCATGCTAAATCGCTCAAAAGCCAGAACTAGGGAGCTGCTTAATGTTAAACATAAAACGCATTCGACTTGTCACAGCGTTTCTCACTGGACATTGCAGAGTCAAAAAACAGCTATCGAAGCTAGGTATTACAAGAAATTATAGCTGCATACTTTGTTACGAAGAAGAGAAAAAAGCAGAACACATTCTGTATCACTGTGATGGTGTTGACAGACTCAGATTTCGGTTCTTATCAACTGCTCACCTACTTATAATGGAATTTGGCAACATCTATACAAAGTACATAATGACATTTTTAACTCCTATGCGTCTATGGAACGTAGGTTTGTCATAATAATTCTTAATGGATGCAGTGACGTGATGACATAGTTC